GAGATCGGAGTTGCGGAGGCGGCAGCGGCGGCCCTGGAGCGGGGGATGTACGTGCCGGGGCTCTCGGGGGAGTTCCAGCATCAAGTTGGCGGTGGCGGTGACCCGACGGGAGAGGCGGAAGCGGCTCGGGCGAGCCACCTGGCCCGCGTGGCGACGGCTCGCGCGGCGGCGACGGCGGCGGCGACGGCGGCGGCGACGGCGGGGACGGCGTCCTCCTTCGCCGGCAGAAGCAACTCCCTGCTCTCGCAACAGCTGCACCAGCACCACCAGCACCACCAGCACCAACGGCAGCAGCTGCAGCAGCAACAGCAACAGCAGCAGAAGCAGCAGCAGCTTGCGCCGACGCGCAGCAGCTCCCGCGCGGCGAGCGCGGCGCTTGCGGGAGGAGGGGCGGGAGGCGGGGGCTCGGCCGCGCTCAGACCTATCTGCCCGAAGGGGTCTGTGGATGGCGGGATGGTCGTTTCCTCGACTAGTGGTCGCCTCGTGCCGGTGGGTGGGGTACAATAGTGAAGCTTGTACTCCGTGTCAGGCCTGCTCGTTGCATGACACCACCACCACCGTGCCATGATGACGGTAGTTGCGGATCGGTTTCAGCTTTGTGTTTCTAGCGACGTTGTTGATGAGGAGACCCAGTAGTAGACTCTTGTCACCGGATTTTTTTTTTTTAAAGCTCAATGGGCTGCGTTGCACGTTTCTGTGAGTGTCTGACGCGAGGCTGTTAGTGACGCAAGGTATAATTGTAAACGCCGTGTCAAGCTGGGATGTTGGCGTGCGTGCAAGAAAAAAATTGACCTCGGGCTGGCCACTGCCTTTGTTGCTTCTTGGTCCTGTGTACCGGTTCTCAGCGCGTTTCTCGAGAGATTTGTTTCCCGTAATCCCACCCCATGACCTCCCCGCGTTGGTTGGAACTGAAAAAGGCTCTTCGTTTTCACCTTAATAGCGTGGTTAATTTAATGGCATAACAACCATCGTAAGCAACACCTGGACGCCCCCGTTTCTCCTTCAGCAGCCATCCAACGTCCACGAAGCCCCAACGACGGATGGGTGCAACTGCAAGAGGTCCAAGTGTCTCAAGCTGTGAGTGCGTACAGTACACGTGGTGCCTCTTTTTTGTCCGCTCGGAGAGCGTGGCATCCACGAACGGTTGGTGTTCTCGACCGGTGCCTGCGGCCGTCAAAGTTTCGAGGCGGTGTCGTTCCCTTGTATATCCTTCCTGGTTTGTTGCGTGTTTGCTTGCGGTCATGGGAGACACCGTCCTGTTGCTCTGACTCCCCGCAGTGCTGGTGGTCGGCTCTGTCTACGTCTATGCAATTGTGCCCTTCGGGGTCTCCGTTTGTTGCGTTGCTGAAAGCTTGCCTGTCTCCATCTGTGCGCATGCTGCCTTTTCTTCGACCGCTCGCTTCCGTTGGGTTCGGCTTGTTGCGAGAGCAGGTACTGCCAGTGCTTCGCGATGCAGGTGGTGTGCACGGCCTCGTGCAACTGCCACCACTGCTACAACAACGCCAACCAGGAGAGCATGCGCTTGCAGGCCATCAACGGGGTGCTAGAGAGGAACCCGGCGGCTTTCGACGCCAAGTTCAGGGAAACAGAGGTGGGAGGGAGTGTTGCAGTAGGCGATCGGCGTTGCACGGACAACGAACAAAACCGGCGCGTCATGGGGTGATTCTAAGGCGCGCATGGGAGCATGTGTGGCACGTTGGCGAGTTAATGCGCTATCGATGCCGTACACGTGTCAGCTAGTTTTTGTTGGTAACTTGTGAGGTTGTTCTGCTGCTCCCGAGCGTGTGTTGATAGCGTGTTGTGTTCCGTGCGCTGTGTGCTTCCTTCCATGTCTGTCGCTCCGGCGCCTATACCTTTCGCGTTGGTTCTTCCTCCTTCTGCCTTGTTGCGCATCTGCGAACTAAGCCCCAATAATATTCCTTTCCAACCAACGTGTGCAAAATAATAAACGTGCGAACAACGAACAATAACAACAAAACAAAAAATACGTGGCGGAACGCGCAGAAACACGACGCCGTTGTGCACAAGACGGGCTGCAAGTGCCGCAAGTCGGCCTGCCTGAAGAAGTACTGCGAGTGCTTCAACAAGGGCGTGGCGTGTTCGGAGAAGTGCAACTGCGTGGGCTGTCGGAACACCGTGGCCCTCTACAGCGAGTACCGCGGCGGGGGCGCCGCCGCCGAGCGAGCCATCCCCATCGCCCCGGCCCCGAAGCCCATGCCGAGGCCCCCGATAGCCACGCACGTGCGGGGGGCGCTGGCGGCAGCGCTGGCGGCGAGAGAGGGAACGCCGCCACGGGCGGTGGCGGCGGCATCGGTGT